AGGACACAGATCCGAGCCGCTTCTTTTGGCAGCTTCCAACATTTCTTTGCTCCTTAATACAGTTCAACCAGAGCTGCTCATTTGAAATTAATACCTTCCATTATAAATGATGAGTAAACACTCAGGGCAGTGGAAGACGACCCTGTAGATCACAGGGGTCCAGCAGCTAGTCCAGCTGCACGCGCATCACCCAAAGACCACATCACAACGGTGCACGATGCCACCAGACGTTGCATTGCACAGGCAATTCTCCGCTCTGCCTTTCCACGGAGGGCACGTCCCTCGACCTTGGCCACAGACACATCTCGTCCTTTTGCTAAGCTGAGCGTCCCCAGCAGGTGCCTGACCCTGCAGCAGTAAGCTGGCAACACGAAGGTATGTATTTACAGCCTGCCTGTTGTGTCCTAAGCCAGGCGGCAAGGTCTGTGCTGGGAGCACTAAATAAACGTGAAAGCTGTGCATTTGGGGCAGGAGACTCCATCGGTATTTTATTGAAGCGCAACGCTGTAGGTTAATTACTATAACAAGGTGGATATTAATACAACAGGGAACTGTAATTGGGAAAACAGTAAGTTTTTCCACAATTTACCCTGTTGTCTGAAAACAATGTCTCAAGTAATTATCCCTCTGACAATTTTTCGACTCTACCTCTGATGATGGGAAGTATTCAGCTTGAGAGGAAAGTGTCTTCTCCCTCAAAGTACAGCTTGCCCTCCTGCTCCTTGGCAGCAGGCATATAACCAGTCAATGGAGTATAAAGTCAAATCTTTCCTGATAATGAAAAACACTGTTTCCAGACAAAAGGACTCTATACAAATACAACGGCCAGTATTTAATTAAAATCTGCATTTGGCAGTGCGTTTTATGGGCCCCTGAGGCAGGTTGCCATTAGCCAGTTTGGCCACATGCTCAGAACAAATCACCGCAGATGAGTGTTGGCAAGGCACGGAGCACAATCCAGCCTGCAGTTCCAGCGATTTGCAGGAGGTGCCAGATGATCAGAATCCCCTATCAGTATCCTGCAAAACCTATTATCTGCATGTCCATGACTTTACAAAGCTGTTGTTAAAAATACTGCATTTAGCTGAAGAATAGAGGGGCTTACGCGTGCAGCAAAGGCCACTCTGCTCTCTTAACAGGGGAAATGGAAATAAGCCCCAATAGTGCCTCCAGAGTTATCGCGAGTGTCTCCGAGGAATTCAGCTCATGCTTCTTCAACAGGATTTCAGATAGATTTTACCTTCCAGGCCAGTCTCATAATAAGAAGTAGAGAGGAGCCTCATGAACGTCCCCAGCCGGACAGCATGATGGCAAGGGTGTAAGCCCCTTATACTCGCTGTAAGGGGCTGAAAATCTCAGTGGTCCAGCAGGGTCATTTACTTGAGGGCAGATCAGTCCCTCAATGCAAAAAAACCCTGCTTTGCAAAAAAACATCTTTGACACAAGAAGGTGTCAAGGAAAGTGTAGCTGAAGGCAGTGGCAGTACTCCTACTCAAATCTGAACTAAAATTGACACCTCCCTAGATGCCAGCATGCAATGTATCACTTCTATGTGCTCTCTTTTTTGTGTTTATTCTTTAAAAATACTTAATAAGTGAATATCTTACTGAGATAGCTTTTATGCAATACTTTTTCTGATTCAAAGCACTGTAGTCCTCTCAGCTCTTCACGACAGAAGCTTTGTTATATATCATGGGGACTGGGAAAGTATAAAACAAAACTGGGCTGCACTTCTAGTCCTATAAATTAACCTATAAAAAGTTTTAATTTCTGTGTCAGTGTACTCTTTTACTGCGAAGATTCACTTCAATTCACTCTCCTTAAATTTAACTGGGAGGTTTATATTCTTTCCTACTTAGACTCCTAAATGGAAAATAAAGTTTGCTTGATGCAAGAGCTGCTAAAAAAGTAATTTAAGGTTCCAACCACTTTGACATTTATTTGTTATATTTGTGCAGAGCTTCATGGCTTTACATTCATTTTATGCTGAAGCCTTCAAACACAACAATGTAAAAGGTGAAAAATAGCCAAGTAGAGGAGCTTCCATTTTGTGTACCAGCTAGTGGCACCAGTGAATATGGTTTTAAAGCAATGCGAGTTGAGGTGCACCAGTAGCAGAAGTGACCCCTGCAACATTTCTGAAAGCAATGGGGCCCCGTGCAAGGGGCGATGCTCAGACTCCACAGTGAAAGCAGCAACCCGGGTACCGGGTGCTGCTGGCTGTGGCCGCCGGCTGCTCTGCCGATGCCTCACCCTGGCTGACCCCGTGCAAGGCAGACACCCCAGCTTGCCCTTCACCCAAACCCATGCCTTCCTCCCCATGCTGATGAGGTGACCCCAGGTTTGCACCCCATCACCCTCCTCCACTCCTCTTCATTGCTGGTGCCAAATCCTTTGCCTTTCTCTCACCAGAGCGGATGTTCTCGTCCTTCCCCTGCTTCTGCTAAGGCCCAGCCCAGGTCTCAGGAATCCCTCTCAGACACAATTGCAATTACGTCAGTTTTAGCTTCCCCAGCCATCCCTTCTCTCCCTTTACCAACCCATTTATTATGTTCAGATACTAAATAATTTTTCTCTCCTTCACTGTTCAGACTTCTTGGATTTATCCTGACTTCACCAATGCAAAACTCACCCACTCTGATTAGCTCCCTTGTACTTGTCCCCATGCTCTAAGTGTATTTCAACACTCATATCCCTCTTCTCTACACTCTTCCTCCCCACTTTTGCCACTTTGTTCCACTCAAACATCATGTAATGCTATACTTCACATATCCCTCTCCTTCAATTTCCCTCCCATTTCCCCTAATGCAATGCTTCTGTGATCGCATATGCCAAATAATTTCTCTTCTGTCATTGCCCTTCATGCATGGAAATAAAAACAAAGGGTAAGGATCAATAACTATCCATAAAGTGAATCCCAATCTGCCTGTTTAAGATAGCAGTTTTGACTTGCACTAAATGACTCTTTTTCCCAAAAGCCATCATCTCCCTCAGGGGACCTGGAGGTTACAGAGCGGGGACAGAGGAGCCTGGAGAACATTGCACTGTGGGGCACAGCGTGTGACTCCCATCTTCCATGACGATACTCCCAGCCTCAAACACACGAGGGCCTGATTGCAGCAGCTGCCTGTTTGGGTCTGTTCCAGTTACAAACAGCTCACAGCATGAATGAGAACTGCCAATAATAGACTATCAGCATCTCACTGTCAAACCAGAAATGAAATGTGTGAAAACCTGTCATAACTTGCATGAGCCTAGTGAATGAGGCGTGCAGCTCTGCCGTACCCAGAGCTCCGCGCAGGCAGCACTGCTGCTTTGGTACCTTTCAGCAAAGACTCAGAGATCGCGCCTTTTTCTGCAGAAAATGCATGTAATTCAAGAGACCTCTAACACAGTCACTACACCATGAACCTTAAATATTTTTTCACAGGAGGTAATTTTGTATTCCAGTTGCTAATCTGAAATAAAAAGACATTTTATATCGGCCAACAGCATCTTCTGAAAACTGAAAGACATTTTGTCTTCAAGCAAATAGCTGCTGTTCTGCCATTAAAGTGTGCATTATTAAGCTCTATGGTGCTCACCTATTTACAGCAAGGAGAGCAATGATCTGTCCATAAGGCAGCTTTCAGAGCTGAAATGAAGCTGTGAAATCCCGTGTCAGAAGGAAAGGGTCAGCGTACACAGGCCCCCCCTCCGAAAATCGAATGCTCCCGTTCCCAGTGTGCGATGCACAAGCCATTACCTGAAATGAAGTCGGGGGGTTTATATTAACGCGGGCTTGGTTCCAGTGCTGTCCCTTATTTCCACTTGAAGACCACAACGGGTTCTCTATTGCGGTCTGACCTTTCAACCGCAGGTAAACATTCAAGCTTCCTAGAAGAGAGGTGGAGAACTGGAATTGGTTAGGCTCTCTGATGGAGCAGAGATGCTGGGCTGGGTACAGCAGCTATCCCCTGCTCACCCCCCTTCCCATTTTGCGTGGGCCTCTGCTAGCTCTGAGTAGATGTGGAGAGCTTCTTGTCCTATATTTGAAAACTTGAAAACTTAGAAACACCATGAACTGGTGATGTGAATTCACAGCAGAGGCAAACTGAGCGTGCAGGGAGCGTGCTCCCCCGTTGCGGGCAGGGCAGTTGCACCCATTGCTCCCCGCAGCTCAGGAAGGACACGAGGCTTCCCAGGGTGAGATGGATAAAAGAGTTTTCTATGCTTTAGTGCAAATGAGGCATTTATAACCTCCTAACCCAAGGATAAATAAGCAACTTGGTTGCCTTATGCTTAGCTCTCGCTTATAAAGACTGTCCAACTTCTAATGGAGTGCCATAGAGCCTGGCAAATCTATCTCAGAGATAGATGTGATGCCCTTACTACTACTAAGGAGTATCTTTGAAGGACAGCACAATCCTCTAGTTCAAATAACCTTGGAAAAGTTGTCCCTCACTGTGAAGAAAAACCCCACAGCCCTGGGTCTTTCCCCAACAACAACCATTAAGTTACTGGTTCCAGCACAGACATTATTTGCAACAGGTAACAGATTGTCTGCATTTTCCAGCTCTTCTCTCCCACTAACACCCCTGCCTCAGACCACGAACAGAAGCCAGACTGTCTCCGTGCACCAAGAGACAGCAAATGCATCGACTTCATTTAGCAGGGTTCAGTAATTCACATAGTTTGGAAATTTTGTCCCTTCTTGCTCACTGCTGTTATCTAGAGAGACGTGGGGCAGTGGTGCCTCTTTATACTATGTAAATCATTGCATTTGCCTTCATTGGAGAAAGTTCAGACAGTCAAGTTCACGCAAGACCACTTTTTTTAGGGAGTTTGGAATGGCAGCTGGGAAGCTCACACAAATTATATTTGCAATGAAACCTCTCAGATCTGAGGCAGCTGCACAGTGACTCAGCTCCTGCTAATAAAAAGTTCTTATTTCTAGCAACAGAAAAACTCAGTGCCTTGAAAAACATAAGGCTAAACGTGTAATGGAGCAGCAAATATTCTCATCACGGCTATTTCACCAGGGTGCCCAGAATGAGGCCATACATCTTCTTTGAAAGAGGTGGGGGAAGCGATGCTCGCCAGAGCGACTGGGCGGCACCGTGTCTCCCACCTGCCTCCCACTGCAGTATTTTATTTTTCAGATGCAGGGGAGGGTGCAGAAGCAGCACAAAGGAATCACGGCTTTTAACAAGGATAGTCTGTCTCTGCCTACACACACGCTACTGGGTAAAACAAAAAGACCTGAAACAGAAAGGGCTTGCAAGAAGGGAAATGCTCAGGAGGGTTCCCTGGAGCAGCCCTGCAGCCCAGCCCAGTAACACGTCGCAGGGCTGCTCACAGCAAGCGGCTGCTCAGCCTCAGCCCTCTTCCAAACAGCAACAGCAGCTCTTGGGCAAGGTTTATGTTATTCAGCTGAAACAGTTCTCCCTTCCTTCCCATCTGCTTCTCTCCAAGACCTTTTTCAACAACTGTGCTGGGTCTATGGTCTGAAAAAAGGCAGGGTCTTAGACAAGACTACCTAAATTAAAAAAATAGAGTTATATATAATGTTATTTTTCTTAAAGACAAAAATCAATGCCCATATCAAGCAAAGGATGAATAGCTGGCTAATTATTTCACCTGGTTGTGCAGGCTGATAGAGCCCATGCCGCAGGGCTGTTTGGAATAACTGAATAATTTAGGTATTAAAACCATGTAATTCCACCACTGCTGAGGTTACAGAGATTTAAGATTGTTCATTGCATACTCAGCCTCTCTGGGCCACATAACTTCTTCAAATTAATAGCAGGATGATAGCAGTCTTACTTAAAAGATATGCTCAGTTGTTGCCCAGCAGGTTGGTTAGTATGGAGGTACCTGCCTGACCCTCATTGCTAGATATGCACACACACTTGCCTGAAACGTTGCTGAAAACTTAACTAAATGACACCTGCAACAGATGCTTATCCTTGAAATTCTGCCAGTAAGGTTTTGGAAAAGTTACGTGGCCCTTGCAAAGCTGGTGCTGTTGGGGAGGATGGGTTGGCTATGGGGTTCACACTGAGGTGTGTCCAGCAAGAATTCATCTACAGATTTCAAACTATTCCAAACTCCAGACAAATGGGTAATGAAGTAACTCTTGAGTAGGAGACAGAAACAGCGGGCAGGAGTAACAACTGCGACTTAAGGAATAAAGTTTACTTTCTGACAGCATCCTGCCAAGAGAGCGCAGGGTGCTCCAGAGACGTCGCCAGCTGCAACACTGGGGTGACATTTTGAGCGCTCATCACTGTGCGAACACCAACAGCTTTCACAGTTTGCTCTGACAGCATGTTTTGCTTCCACTTTTTGTTTTGTGATGGCTCTCTAATGATAAGAAAAATTATTGTTTTTGGAGCACCAATTAGAAATGCCCCGTTTCAGGGTGTGGATGGAAAAATCAGAAATATAGATTGTTTTAAAAGATGGTGACAGCTATAATGGAATTACAGCCTCTTTCTGTCTCAACGTAGAGACACAGTAAGGACAGTGATTTCATTTTCTTGCTCCCCAACAATGCTTATTGTTTTGGCTGGGGCAGAGTTTATTTTCTTCGTAGTAGCTGGTATGGGGCTATGTTTTGGATTTGTGCTGAAAACAGTGTTGACAACACAGGGATGTTTTAGTTATTGCTGAGCAGTGCTTACGCAGAGTCAAGGCCTTTTCTGCCTCCCACCCACCCCACCAGCGAGGAGGCTGGGGGGCACAAGGAGCTGGGAGGGGACACGGCCGGGACAGCTGACCCCAACTGACCCCAGGGACATCCCACACCGTATGGCGTCATGCTCAGCTGCTTTGCTTTGCTTTGCTTTGCTTTGCTTTGCTTTGCTTGCATGTGCGGCTTTTGCTTTACCTGTTAAAGTGTCTTTATCTCAGCCTACAAGTCTTCTCGCTTTTACCCTTCAGATTCTCTCCCCCATCCTACCGGGGGGGGACTGAGCGAGGGGCTGGTTGGTGCTTAGTTGCCAGCTGGAGTTAAACCACGACAGCTGCAAATCAAGTAATGAGAATTTCTATTTCTCTTATGCTTTAGGGATAATCTACCTTCTCCTTTTGAAGGATGTGGAGCAAAGCGCATGCACTTTCTCTGGCAGCCGGCACTCTCAGAGTTAGCTCTGTGTGATCTGTCAGGAATTACAATCTGCCTTGTAAGAGCCATCTATTTCAGGTGAAGAAACACTTTATCTTTCTGAATCTAACTGCCACGGCATGGGATGTAGGTCCCTGTTTATCTCATCAGAGCTGTGTTGTAGTGTAAGTGCTAATCTCAGATCTGTGCTCTGCTCTCTGCGAAGACTCCCAAGTACCTCTCCTTATCGCTACCGAAATTTTCAGCCTCTTCTCCAGAGACACCAAAGACCTGAACAGCAGGCACGGAAGCTGAGCTGCACAAACTGGTAGACTGTTTGTTTTCAACGTAGTGCAGCAGCCATATTCTCAAATTGATGTCACTGGGGTCACTCATTTTTAAGAATGGAGGAGGAAGCATCATTTCCCCTAAGCCTCCAAGACCAGCCCACACCAGCAACAGAGCATCATTCCAGGATGACTTTCCATTTTATTAGGGATCCTTCAAAACCTTATCGGAAATGCAGAAACATTTTGATGAGCACTGAAACTGTTTCAGAAACAAAGTACTTTGCCCCTGAGACATGGAATAATAACCTGAATACTGCCTGGAAATCTCATGGGTACTGATAACTAGGGAGAATAAAGCAACCCAGTGGAAATGCTGACTTGCAGCACCAATGTCTGCTGAACAATGCTACAGCACTTTGGATGAAAAATCAAAGTTTAATGGCCATGTATCTTCCCTGAACACATTGTCCGCAGGCCCAAGGAAGGAACGGGCTGGAATTTATTTAAGCCAAATTCCCCTGCAAGACACTTGAAATTTTCAGCGAAGTCAGGTCAAGAATCAGCAGCTCAAGGTTATTCAAAAGAGAGAGCCTTCAGCACAGAGATCATATTGAGGTCTCAGTTAGCAGCTCCTATCCTGCTCTTGTGAAGAAATCAATGAGCAGGCAGTGCATATTACAGCCGAGAGCTGCTCCAACTGGCAGCACTCATTCCCAAATGGGGATAAGAAGCACCCTCTACGGCGGTGAAGGGTCAAGGTTTCTAACAGCTTGTCATAAAACAGTCAATCTGTTTTAACAATAAGATTTATCATTATCCACAGGGGATTAATCCTTAACAAAATGGAACTCTTCTGAAAAAAATATTACCAATTAAATATTTCATACACAATCACAGAATCATTGAGGTTGGAGGCACCTCTGGAGATTGTACTGCCCAAACCCCTGCTCAAAGCATGGTAGATTAGAGCAGGTTGCCCAGGACCATGTGCAATCAGATTTTGGATATCTCCAAGGACAGAGACTCCACAACCTCCCTGGGCAAGCTGTTTGATCACCTTCATAGTAAAAAAAAGAATTCTTTTTCTTATGATTAAATAGAATTGCCTCCATTTCAATTTGTGCCCATTGCCTCTTGCCCTGTCCCTGAGCATCTCAGAGCTCCATCTTCTTTACACCCTCCCTTTAGGTATTTATATACACTGGTGAGGCCGCCCCTCGAATGCTGTGCTCAGCGCTGGGCCCCTCACCCCAAGGCGGCCATGGAGGGGCTGGAGCGTGGCCAGAGCAGGGCAGCGAGGCTGGGGCAGGGGCTGGAGCCCAAGGCTGGGGAGGAGCGGCTGGGGGAGCTGGGGGGGCTCAGCCTGGAGAAGAGGAGGCTGAGG